TCCTTCCTTCCTTCCTTCCCTTCCTTCCTTCCTTCCTTCCTTCCTTCCTTCCTTCCTTCCTTCCTTCCTTCCTTCATTTCCTCTATTTGTCTTCTATTTCGTTCTCCCTCCTCTATTCACCAAATATTTATTGAACACCTCCAATATCTCAGGCATTAATGTAAGTTCTTAGAATCAAAACATATTTTTAAAAATCTCACCTTCTAGAGAGGACAGAACAATGATGAACAATATACATAAAAATAAGTAAATTTTATATGATGCTTAAATGTAATAAGTGCTGTGTAAATATTAAAGATCTAGAAAGAAAGTAGAGTATGGTATTAAGAATTCAAAGTAGGCACTGAACACTTTACCAGGATGGGTCATGGTAAGCCTTATTGAGAAGGTGGCATCTGAACCAAGACCTAGAAGAGGTGAGGAGGTGGGAACTGAGATCTCCAGGTGTCTGGGAAGTAGGCCTGGAATGGTGGAAGCAGAGCTTGGAGGCCAGTGGAGTGGGGAAAGGGGAATTAGAGAAGGAGTGCTCAAGGTTGGAGAAGGTGAAAGTAGATCTTATGAGGTCCTATATCATAACCTGACTTAACCTTTAAAGAGATCATCTTCATGTCTTTTCTTTTCTTGGGATTTGTATAAAATAGATATTTGATGAATGACATGGCAAAGAAAAAGTGAGAGGGGCAGTCATATGAATGTCTGCCTTCCTCCTCCTCTGTGGCCACTAAGGAAGGAGGATCTTTTTTGTTTGTTTGTTTTTTTAATCATTACCCAAGGATATGTTTATTGGTTTTAGAGAGAGAGGAAGGAAGAGAGGTGTGGGAGAGAAGGAGAAACGTTGATGTGAGAGAGAAACATCAATTGGTTTCCTCCCAAATGCACCCCAACCTGGGATTGTATCTGTAGCCTTTTGGTGTAAAGGATGATGCTCCAACCAACTGAGTCACCTGGCCAGAGGGAGGGTCTTTCTTACCCAGCATGCTTCCACACCCTTGCTGGACAGATTCCGGTGAGGGCTGAGTAATGGCAGAGACCAAGACC